AGTGTATTATGGTTGAACGTCTCGTGATGACGCTAAAAGGCGTTGATAACCAAAAAAAAAATGCGATTGAACAAGAACATTTCAAATTTCCAATTCTATTCACATATCTCATACGCTCTTCTCGTGGGAGCATCTATCCTGACGAAGAATGCCTAAGTCATTGAGCTGTGAACGCATACTCAGTGTACAATCTTTCGGCCTAGAGAGGTATTGCGCACGCTCGAACGCGCTTCACAGCCCAATAGACGAAGTTGGTGGCACCCACAAGGCAAGTTTTTGAATGGTCTGTAGTAGGCAAAAGAAACAAATAACAATCAACGTATGTGAGTTCTCCAAGCGAAGAGGCGCGTTTCTAAGGTCAATGGTTCCGGACGGCACTAATGTTGTTGGCGTTGTCTTCCAAGAACCACACTGACTTCTGAATAAGCACTGGAAGGGTGGAGGATCGACGAGATAAAATGTTTCACAAACTTCTACAAAGGAGGCGTTTCGAAGGAACTAACCGTCGCTAGGCGGGAACAGTCACCGACTGGAGTGTTTTAGTTTTACCGAGGCCGAATATTTCCAACCACCGGAGTTTTCCGGTTGTAACCGATTTAGTATTTTCGTCACCGGCGGATGTTTATCAACTTGGAATATTGAAGTTTGTCATGAAAATTATGGCTTTTTTTTTTTCTTGGTGAATAGAGGTGATTTGTTGAGTTCCAAACATCACATTATTGAAATAACAAACATCGAAATGTTGAACACCGGATAATGAAGTTGCTAAAAGGCCAAAGCGCCGGAAGTCAACCCTGAACTGCAACAATATTTATTTACTTCGACTTCGAAACGTATTTCTGTAAGGGAAACTGGATTAGGGCAAGAAAGAAGGGAGAATGGAAGGGCCGGGAAGGGAAAGGTAATTCGGAAGAACAGAGTGAGGAGAATGAAAATAGACATGGTCTTAAATTGGAGTCTTTTGCGAGATAAAAGTTCTTTCCTACGCGGACGACGTTGCAGATGTTTGTATCGATCAAGATAGCGTACGTGGGCCCGTGTTGCTTCTTCGTTTTGTAAGAATACGGGAAATGTTATATTTAAACTGGTTGAAATGTGCTGGGGGGGGGGGGGGGGAGGGGGGATTATGGCACGGACTGCACGCAAATATGGATCATACTTGGGTTGCCATTCAGTTACAGTAACTGAATTACTGTAATTTAACTTCTTTTTGGTGATTTGTAATTGTAATTAATTACTTTCGGCTAATAGAAATTTAACTGTAATTTAATTATGGTAGCTTCAGTAATTTTAAAATTTCAAGCCCAACTACGACCACTTTTGCAAGACTTTCCGGCGGCGACGGAACCCCTCTGAAAGCCTCAGCGCTCGCACAAGCGGCCTAGCGCTCGGTGACACACTCGCACACGCAGCAATGCACGCACACGCACGCCCAACAAAAATAGAGCCCCGTTGTGTGCTGTTTTGTTGCCTACGCTGAGGGCTGACAGACAGTCCTTTTTGGAGCCTACCCCAAAGGCGCCGTGTGGCGCCATCTGCGGTGAGTAGAAAACAGTAGCGTAGACATGGCAAAAATATTAAAAGAATACAAAAATCGAGCTTCAGCCTTTTTTTTTTTTTAATGTTAGTTATTTAGAACATTTTGCAGGCCACAGACTGGCCCAAGCAAGAGTAAAAATCATAAAGTAAAATACAAGCGAGCGCTTTTGAAATAAAAAAACGAAACACATGGACATACATATTCGAGGAATATACCAATAAATGCAATACAGAAGAGTGACGTAGAAAACACTAACATGCAAAATATTTTATATAAAAAGGTAAGCACATCTAAGAAAAATAACTATCAATGGCATCACAAAGATCGGTAGCCTCAAAAACGTCAGAGAAGTTAACACTCGTGCAGCAGACGCAAAGCTGGCAGTGGCGGAACGAGATGATAATCTAATCATCCGCGTTTTGCCACTGATAGCTTTGTGCCTGCTACGCGATAGGTAACTTTGCTGCGTCTACAAGTTTCCCAAGAGCTTCAAGTCGTTCTAAAATTGACTGATATAGTGGTTTTCCATTATGCTCGGCATGTTTCTAATTGAACCCATACGGTTATTTTTAATAATTAAAAAGTTAATTAAGTTTAGTTAATTATCCGACTTATCGCAGAGATTAGCCACCGACATAATGTCCCCCTGGCCCTATAACTCACCTTCACAAACAGTATTAGCGCATCTTTTACGAATGTTTTGTAATAAATCTGTTCGAATTAAAATAGAACACCCGGCATATACTATATATATATAATATATGCCGGGTCTCCAAGATACGTGATATATATATATCACGTATCTTGGAGACGACCATAACTGGGATGCTACATGTCGAGGAGCCCCACGACGTATGAATGATGAAGTGAGGCTTTGCTGCGCAGGGCGACTCCGGCAGTCCGCTGATGATCCGCGACCGGGATCGCCACTGGCTGGTCGTGGGTGTCGTCTCCTTCGGCAGCCGCTGCGCCGCCGCCGGATTCCCTGGCGTCTACACGAGGGTCGGCGAGTACCTCGACTGGATCCACACCAACAGCCGCTTATGACGGCAGCAGGGCCGGACCTAGGACCCAGGGATCCAAGATCTCAGCCCGGAAACACGTGCTCCGTCGGAAACATGGAGCGTGCACGGACTTGCCCTGTTCCCGTCATCAGAGCAAGCAAGAGCTGTCACGGAGAGAGTCGAACCGGCACCACGCTCAGCACAATGCACGTGCCCGTTGTCTTTAGAATACAGTAGATCGCCATGTTTGATTAGACGCGTCTGACAAATAGCTTCTATTGGACAAGAAAGAAAAGAAATGTCCGGGAGCGGAGATCTTTCCCCCGGGAAACTTTTGTGATGTTTCACACTATCAAATCACGCATAAATACAAAATAATAATTAAAAAACACGCAGGACGCGACAAGTTTTGAGCATCTCACTCTCGCTCCAAAGTCGATGAGATGGCAGCATGTACCGATATGCAATCTCGAGAACGAATATTCGAGAAACATAGATACATGAACGCAATAAGCCACTTCCTGGGTTTCTTAAATTGTCAGGTAATATACAGGGAGTTCCCGAGAAAAAAAAAAATGGCGTTCTTCGGCCCGGGTAAATAAACTATGCATCGCGGAAATCCCAAACTCCGTGAGAATGTGACGCTAGTGGTTGGGATAGAACGGGGAAGTTTGAAAACATGACGTTACCTGGATCAGAAATTTATTGAGAAAGACGAACTTTTCAATGAGCCGACGCCCACCTCAGTAAGAACTGCCACTGTGGATGCTGGTGTGATTTATGTCAGTGAAAAACATTTGTCAACAAGAAAGAAAATATTTTTGTTTGCTTGTAACACATTTTTGCCTACTAAAATAGATGCCACATCTGCCTAGAGTGTATTATCTCGCTTTAGACGATATTTGGCTGAGGTGGACGTTGCCTCACAGAGAAATTTCGTTCTTCTCAATCATCGTTTGAATCGCGTAACGTCATGCACTAAAACATTCGTATTCTATTCCAATCGCTAGAGTCAGATTCACACAAAGTTTGGGCTTTCTGCGATGCATAACTTTTTTACTCGTGCCGGAAACCGTGGTTTTCTTTTCTCGGGATCTCATATAAAAGAAATGTTCGTATGTCTGCTTCCCAGCAATACACACCTAAAATCAATTCGCTGCAATAAACTAAAAAAAAACAAAAAAACACACAACAAACAACCAAGTGACGATGAAAAAAAAAAATTGGGTCTACAATTGTTTTTGGAGTTGCTACAGTGAGCATGCATGATGTTTCAACTGCGCGGTACCCAATTTCAGAGCTCTAGAGATAACTCTGTGGGTCCACTTTCCTGCGAAACAGACGCGCGGCCCGGGTAACTGCTAACATCGGAAGGACTCCAGCGAATGACGAAGCGCAAATACGATAAGACCCGACCGAGTCAATCTAGACCAGGTCATTGACCCTGCGCAAATCCCAGTTTAAGGTCTAATCATAGTATCAGCTTCGTGTTGCGCAATGATTGTATAACCTGCGTGCTCTACAAAAAATTGAACCCACATGCTTCGTAGGCTTATTATACCATCAAGCGATGATCCTGTGTGTGTTCTTCGGGGAATGAACGTGCGGTCGGTTTTCAAGGTCTTGGGAGAGCGAGATACGGCCTTCTACGTAGAAGGCGCGGGCTGATTCAGCTTCGAGCAGTGGCAGAGCCAGGAATTGTTTTTCGGGGGGGGGGGGGGGGGGGGGGGGGGGGGGGGGGGAGCGGTGTCAAAATGCATGCGGTCGGCTGCTTTTTGGGGGGGGGGGGGGTGGGGGGTGGCTGAATCCTTATAAGCCTCCCCCAGGTACAGGGGACAAGCGCTACGAACTCCTACCGAGTCGCCCAAGTGCCCGTCCTAATTGAGCCTTTTCAGCACATTACCTCTATAGCTTTAGTGACAGCCCTTTCCTTTCTAAAAGAAAAAAAATATGCCATTGCTTGTTCGTGCTAATCGTGTCGCCTTCTGTACGACGACCAAAGTTATCCACAGAAAAACTGCCTGCGCTTTATAATACTAGACGTACCAACAAAGAGTTTGCGACTACGTGAGTCGCTACACCATTCAGGGATGTATGATGTACATACACGGCAAATAAAGTTATTCTTTCAAGAAACAGTTTCGCAAGCCTGGATTGGACGTACATTATTCTCGTACACCGTGTTCAACTCACTACCTCGGCGAGCGAGCTGAACTCTGAATCAGAAAATGTAAGCTCACTATATGTAAGTGACGGAGTGAATATGCAGAAAAAATTGCATAGCTCTTAAATTGTCCAAACAATTGGTATACCAAAATAATCCACCAAAAAAAAAAAAAAAAAAAAAAACCTGCATTAAAAGCAAGAAAAAAGGAGAGAGAGAAAAAAAAGGGGGCGCTTCAAATTTTGTGAAAAACCGCTTGCTTTGAAAGGAATTTGGTCGAACGCTGCTCTGTATTGCAATTGCGGGAGCAAGCACACATTGGGCACTTTTTGTAGGTAGTCTAGCATTGTGCGGCTCCGAGCGTGGTGAGGCGCTCGCACAGCATTTTAACTTTTTGTGAGAAGACAACAGCAACACAGAAGGCTCATACATTTGCTTGATATTCACGTTATTGTACCCGGAATGCATTCGAAACAGAAATGAAATTTATTGACAAACGATTGACGCACATCTCAGATTGCGGATCATCGGCACAGGGGATGTAAAACACCGAAAGCGTGCAAAATAACAAACGTTAAAGAAAACGATATGTGCGAAAGTCGAAGTGCTGAAGCTATGTAACACTTATTCGCAACTTTCATGACCTATAGGGGGCGCACTGGTGCCTATCAAAATGGCTGTCATCTGGATAATCGTCGTAGAAGAGCAGTACGAGGCTGGGTCAGCGACGCGTAAGTAATTCTAGTTTTGCTATATACGAAAAGTTATTTTTTTTTTATTTAGAGGATACTACAAGCCATCGAAGGCCCAAGTAGGTGTGGGATACAACATATACATTCACACATAAAACGAAAGCAAATAACACGACATTAAAAGGTTTACAACTAACTAGCAAATATACAGGATATATTATTTAAAAAAAAGGGGAGGGGGGGAAAGCAAGCATCAAGCAGTATGTAATTCCATCATGCACTAATACAAAATGACCTATCCAGATGTAGTATGAAGGTTTATACAATCCTAATGTCCATGCGAAAAAGATGAAGGTGCAGCAATCTACAAAGCAAAACATGTTAGTTATCAAGACGCTCGAGACCTTCTACAAAGTTGGTGTCGATAAATAGTTCGAGAGGTAAACCGTTCCAGTCGCTAATAGTGCGAGGGAAAAAGCTAAACTTAAAACATATTAGTCCGCGCAAAAATGGGTGTTAGTGAAAACTGATGTCTGTGCCGCGTAGCTCTTGACGCCAAAGGGGAAATATATTGCAATGGGTCTATGCGAGTCTGTCCTTGCTGAAGATGAAACAAGAATTTCAACCGCGCTAGTTTCCTTCTGGCCTGAAGAGTCTGTATTCCGTTAGCCTGCATAAGTTGAGATGGTGAATCCAGCCTTCTATACTTTCCGTAAATAAACCGAACCGCTCGACGTTGCACCATCTCCAACTTCCGGATATCTTTCTGAGTGAATGGATCCCAAACGATATTTGCATACTCCAACTTGGATCTGACTAATGAATAATACGCATGTAGCTTAACCTGAATCGGAGCGTCGTTCAACTTTCTTTTAATGAAACCCAACTTCCTGGATGCCGAAGTACAGATATGTTTTATATGAGGAGACCAAGAAAGTGTGTCCGATATAATTAAGCCAAGATATTTACATTCTCGCTCCACAGTAACCGGGGTGTCCGCGATATTATAAATGTATTCAAAGGGTTGCTTCTTTTTTGTAATACGTAAAAGTGTTGATTTAGCAGAGTTAAGCTTCATTTTCTACGTATCGCACCATGATACAACGGAAGGCAAACTATGATCTAGCAATAACTGATCCGAGCTCGAAGTTATTTCTTTAAAAATAATGCAATCGTCGGCAAAAAGACGTATATGGACACCTGCGTCAATGATTGAAACAACATCATTTATGTACACCAAGAACAAAAGAGGACCTAAAACGCTCCCTTGGGGGACCCCTGACGTTACAGGCAGAACTGGAGAGATGCAACCTCCGATGGAAACAGACTGTGTGCGATGTGACAAGTATGTAGCAATCCAGTTAACAAAACCATGTGGAAGACCAAGCTGTTCAAGTTTAAAAAGCAGTTGTTCATGAGGCACCTTATCGAAAGCTTTGCTGAAGTCCAGGAAAAGCACATCGATTTGACCTCCCCTATCGAGGATTTGCGCAAACTCATGGATGGTAGTGACGAGTTGGGTCGTAGTTGACAAGCCTTTGCGAAAGCCATGTTGAAATTCTGTTAGAAAATTACGACTGTCCAGCAGTTCATTGATTTGGCTGCAGATGATATGCTCTATTAATTTACACGAACAAGAAGTCAAGGAAATTGGACGGTAGTTCTCAACTGCTAGGCGATCCCCTTTTTTGTGCACAGGTACCACTATGACAGTTCGCCAATCATCTGGCAGCGAGCTGTTTGAGTATGATGCACGAAAAATAACGAGAAGATAATGGGCTAGGGACTCAGCGTACCGTCGGAAAAACGTGTTTGGAATCTTATCGGGACCAGCACTTGTTTTCGTTTTCAGTGACAACAGCAAAGAAACTATGCCGTAATAAGTTATGAACTCAGAGTGATAGTTTGATGTGGTGGAAATCACATAATCATGGTTACGGATATCGGAAAAAACCGATTGAAAATACTCATTGAAATGGCACGCTATAACACCAGGATCAGTTGAGACAGTGTCATTCACCACGATTTGCTCAACAGGCTTATTTGTTTCAGTCAAGTAGCGCCAAAACTTTTGGGGGTCATGTTTAAGATAGTTTAGAAGCGTACCGGAGGAGTAGTTGTTTCTAGCCACTGCAATTAGGCTACGAAGATCGCTCTGCTGATTGGTGACATCACAGTTAACTGGCCTTGATTTCTTCGCTCGTTTTATCCTGTGTTTCAGATGTAGGATTTCTCTGTTAATCCAC